TTTTTTTTTTTTTTTTTTTTTTTTTTTTTTTTTTTTTTTGGCAGCTGGCTGGTACAGGGATGGAACCCTGGACCTTGGTGTTACCAGCACCAAGCTCTAACCAACTGAGCTAACTGGCCATCCCTCTAGTTCTCATTTCAGATTTTATCTGTCTAGATAAAACAGCACATGACTGAAGGCCTACACCCTGCAAATGTGGCACGCGTGAGGAGAGTTAGCATATAAAACATGTCGATGTTGAGTTGATTGTGAACACAATGGTTTAGTGGGGCAATTAAGAGCCCAACCCTCCAGGTAGCCTTCCTGGGTATGGAGAGCTTGTTATCTTGACTCTGGACAAATAACCAACCTTTCTATGCCTCATTTTCCCCATCTATAAACTGGGAGAAATAATTCTACCTATCTCATTTGGTTATCAATAGGAATTAATTGAATTAACACATCTAAAAGGCTTATAATAGCACCTAGAACATAGTAAATGTCACATACTCATTAGTTATTATTTCCACCATTAAAATAACATAAGCATGTTAGCATAAAGTGTGGAGAATTTTTTTTAAGCATTTTTTTCTGTCTTTTTAAGGTCCAGATTATATAAAGGATCATTTACCTAAAGTTCATCAGCACACTTCCTATATAGGAGAAAAGCTTCCGGAATTAGAAAAAACTGGAGATCTCAGATATTTATGTAGGCCTGCCTCAAACAGAAGCTTGCCAGCAAAATACAAACACGAGTATGTTGGTGAAATTGGTTGGGGAATTCAAGAGTATAGTTTTATCAACAAATCAAGAGTTGAGAGTGGCTTTCATATCAAGGTATTGTTCTTTGATTTATACTCTGCATAGTTCATGGTTTTCTGACTTGAATTCTTTCTGAGTTTGCTTCCATAGGAAATGCCAGGTGATTGATTTCTCACTGAGAAGTAATGGGATTTGAGTTTTGCAGAAAGATAAATGTGTGAATCAATGTACCTGTTGCCACAACTCTCCTTCAGCCCTTCTAATACATGAGAGGAGAGCTGTGAAGGAAATGAGGCCACAGATAATCCAGAAGCAGTTGGGTTTGGCTTTGGAGTGCATTCAGATTCACGTTGATGCGAGGCACTTACATATACACCCCCACCCAGCACTGCTTTACGAGTGGATGCCAAGGAGGAAGGCTGAGCTGGGCATCACCCACAAAGCTCAAGCACGAGTCTCAGATCTTTAAAATCCACCGTGTGGATAATGCCTCTGTATCAGGTAATTCGGGCTTTGTAGTAAGAGGGTTCTCAGAAATCTTGTTTTATTCCCTTTTGGTGATGTGGACACAGCCATGAGCCCACACAACATCCTCTGAAACAGAAGAGAGCACAGGAGACTTTAGAAGTAAAATCGGAGAATTCCAATATGTTTTTTCCAGGCAGGCCTTTGCACTGTCTGAAAATTGAATGTATCAATTGTGCGATAACCAAATTTCCTCAGGTTCTTAAGGCAATATGGTACAGTCTTATGTGGTAAGGATTAACAAAAAACAAACCAAAAAACTTTTCCTGGCTCAGCCTACAGCAGTACAGGAGACTGGTGGAAAGCTCAGTCTTTGAAGTTAGACTCTGCTTCAGGTCTAGCTCTGTGACCTTGGGCAAACGAGTTTACCTGTCACATATCTGTTCCTTCCTCTCCACATGGCAGTATTTAGAGGCCCACTTCACAGGAGCACATGAATTCCCATCCTGATGGCTACCTACTAGCTGTGAGTGGCCTTGGTTAAGTTCCCTAGCCTCTGTGCTTCAGTGCTTTCATTATGAAATCTTAGGATCTACCTCATCAGGCTGCTGTAAATATTAAACAGGTTAGTATTTGTGAAGTGCTGGGAATAGTGTTTCGCATATCAAGCCCTACATGTGCTTATTATTATTATTGTTATGTTTTGAGGATTAAACATGAGAACACAAGGAAGGGCCCTAATCACCACATCTGGCACGTGGCTGACATCCAAATTTCAGCTTTTAGTACTGACCGTTGTTGTTGTTTTTAATGTTACTCAGTATCAGAGAGAAAGAATGCTCAGATTCTTAAACTGTGTCCTATTCCACTGAGGCAATAAAGATGAAGATCAGAAATTTGATTAAATATCACACTGGCCACCAGCAAGAATAGTACAGCCCTGAAGCAAGGCAGCTGGTCTAAAGAGAGTCCAGAACTTTCGTTGCCTTGCTGTTGCCCTCTGGGTGATGCCCTGCTCTCGCTCACAGCCCTCAATCTGTCTGACCATCTTGAGCGTATACAACCTCCTTTCCTTCTTCATCTTTAACTTAAGAACCTGTTTTTCTGCTCAAATGAAGTGCAATCAAGCATGCCTTGGTCTTTAAAGGAAGCTGGGAATCCAAAAGAGGTGACAGCCACAAGTTAGCCTTCCAGGAAGGTATTTGTTCCATTTCTGTCCTTAGTATTTCACAGACTGCTTCTAGTGGCTGCTCCGCTCTTGGTCTCTGCGGGATTGCATGTGAGCTGTATGATGATTTTCTTCTCCAGCCGGCTGCACACTCAGAAACTGGTTTTGTCTGGCATATGCTGTAATGGATTTGCTCATCATCTGTGCACTTTCTTGGCTCTGGCATTTTAACAGTTATAGTTTTCAAGGGCCTACCTGTCTCACATAACAGTCTTGAACAATGCTTCAAAGGCTTTCATGGACTTAGAGCCTGAAAATAAGAACAGAAAGACTCACTGAGAATGACTGTACATGTTAGCAAAGAACCATCTATAACTTACCTACTAGGTAAGACGTAGGTTTGGTCAACAGGGCTGCTAATCTCCTCCTTATCCAAGTATGCCTCCCCCTCTACATCCAAGGCAGGGCAGACTTTCATCTCTTTTCAACCCTGTGCTTCAGGCAGCTCGTTCCAATCAGTCAGACTTGGTGCATGAATCGACACTTTGAGCTGATACATACACATGCAAACATGCTCCTAATTACAAGTAACATACAAGAGCGGTGGCATTCTCCCCACCCCCACCCCACAAGGTGGCTGGTAAATTCCTCGTGGTGGTGTCACTTAGGGCCATGTCTCCATCCATCTCCTGTTCTTTCTCCAGTTCCTTGTCTTTCTGTAGACCTCTTTCACCTCCCTCATGCTTCCTCTTCCCATAATAGTCCAAATCAAAATGGTCACTTCCTTTTTAATCCTAACTGCAGACTCTTCAGTGCCTCTCACTGCAATCGCTCAGAATTTAAACGTTAAGCACAAACGTTTGTCCTCTGGGTTTTCATAGCTGCAACAGCTGCTTTTCATAACTTACTGCTCCAGGTTTGAGTAAGAATGGCAGCTAAGGACGCTCAGGCACCTCCAATAGATTCGGTAAAATGCCTGAGGCAGCTGCCTCCTACCTGGGAACGGTCTC